GACAACATCCCAGCAGAGGCACTGAAAGCAGACGTAGCGGCAACTGCACGGATACTCCACATTCTCTTCAATAAGATTTGGGATGGAGAACAAGTACCAACAGACTGGAAAGAAGGACTACTGATCAAAATACCGAAGAAAGGCGATCTCAGCAACTGTGATAACTACAGGGGCATTACTCTTCTCTCAATACCGGGAAAAGTCTTCAACAGAGTATTGTTAAACAGGATGAAGGACTGCGTAGACGCCCAACTTCGTGGCCAACAGGCAGGATTCCGTAAGGATAGATCGTGTACAGACTAAATCGCAACTCTACGGATCATTGTGGAACAATCAATTGAATGGAATTCATCACTCTACATCAACTTCATTGACTACGAAAAGGCATTTGATAGCGTGGACAGAACAACATTATGGAAACTTCTTCGACACCACGGCGTGCCTCAGAAGATAGTCAATATCATACAGAACTCATATGATGGATTACACTGCAAAATCGTGCATGGAGGACAGTTGACAAAGTCGTTCAAAGTGAAGACCGGTGTCAGTCAAGGTTGCTTACTCTCACCCTTTCTCTTTCTCCTGGTGATCGACTGGATCATGAAGTCGTCAACGTCTGAAGGAAAGCGCGGGATACAATGGACATCTAAGATGCAGTTGGATGATCTAGACTTCGCAGACGATCTGGCCCTTCTATCCCAAACGCAACAACAGATGCAGGAGAAGACAAACAGTGTGGCAGCAGCCTCAGCAGCAATAGGTCTCAATATACACAAAGGGAAAAGCAGGATTCTCCGATACAACACAGAATGCACCAATCCAATCACAATTGATGGAGAAGATTTGGAAGATGTAAAAACCTTTACGTATTTGGGCAGCATCATTGATGAACAGGATGGATCTGATGCAGATGTGAAGATGCGGATCGGCAAAGCAAGAGCAGCATATTTACAACTGAGGAACATCTGGAACTCAAAACAACTGTCAACCAACACCAAGGTCATGATTTTCAATACAAATGTCAAGACAGTTTTACTGTATGGGGCAGAAACCTGGAGAACTACGAAATCCATCATCCAGAAAATACAGGTGTTTATTAACAATTGTCTACGCAAAATACTTCAGATCCATTGGCCGGACACTATTAGCAACAACGTACTGTGGGAGAGAACAAACTAGATCTCAGTGGAGGATGAAATCAGGAAGAAGCGCTGGAAGTGGATAGGACACACATTGAGGAAAGCACACAACTGCGTCACAAGACAAGCCCTCACATGGAATCCTGAAGGTCAAAGGAAAAGAGGAAGACCAAAGAACACATTACGCCGAGAAATGGAGATAGACATGAGAAAAATGAACAAGAATTGGATGGAACTAGAAAAGAAGGCCCAGGTTAGAGTGGGTTGGAGAATGCTGGTCAGCGGCCTATGCTCCATTAGGAGTAACAGGCGTAAGTAAGTAAGTAAGTAAGTAGCAGTATTTACTTCCTTTCTCTTAATAATACTCACGGAGAAGTATAGGACACTCATCAATATTCTCAATCAAACTCTGTCCTGGACAACCTTTTCCAGTTGTTTTCAGTTGCTGCTCATTCTTCTGAAATCTGCTTTGAAATATCGACGCAATATGTTACTTGGTCTTCCTCTTTTCCTTTTCCAGTCAAGTGGATGTTTTTTGTAGTGCATGTCTTGTCTACATACAGCGTCTTTTTCTTATTTCCTTTTCAGCTGGAAGCTGGTTTGCTCTTGAAGATGCCACAGGTATTCGGAGTTTGACAACGCTTTAACTAGTAACACCTCATAGTATGAATCATACCCACCAAGTAAAATAAAAAACAGAAGTGAGGAGGTTCGAAGATATATTTGATAGGTTATCTATATATTAAGGATCGTCTGATCTAATCTGGCTAGCGATTACAGAGGATGTTGAGCACGGCGTTCCCACTCGTGAACTTTTGCGGATGCATAACCGAGCGCCTTCACCTAGGTGAGTCCATTCAAACTAATGTGGTCAGCATCCAACGTCGAAAACTTACAGAGCTATTTATTTTGGGGATTTATTTATCGATACATTCTCCCCCACAGTAGGCTGTTGCTGATAGTATCCGACCAACGCATATTGAGTATCTTGTGTTTACAACTGTTTATAAATACTCGTACCGTTTTGATGGTAATTATGGTAGATCTCTAAGTTCTAGCTTCGTTCAGTAGGACTGTCTTGACGTTCATATTAAAGATTTTGATGTTAGTTGACAGTTGTTTTGAGCTCCACATGTTGTTCAACTGTAGGAATGCTGTCCTTACTTTCTAATTCTCACATTTACGTTTCTACCTCTTCCAGTTTTTCTCCATGAAGTGTGATTTGGTTGGTCGGTATTCTCTGTGTTGTATTTGAGGATCTTGCTTTGTTCCTTGTATGTGTTGATGAATCTGCTTTGCTGATCAGTTGACCCATTGTTAACTGTGTTTGAAGAATTCGACACTCGAGATAGCGCTTTTATCAACTACCTACCCATCGATCTTTGTTTTGGCCTCTGAACAACGACAAACTCTTCCTGTACATCTAGTGGATTGCCTAATAGGAAGTGCCAGATTCGAAGGTTGCTGTTTTATAATTCTTTGTATTTGAAATATTGCGCTCTATTTGGATTGGTAGCACAATGTTTTCATGGATTTTAGTTGGGATAAATAACGATATACCTTGAATCAGTTCTGAAGCTCCTGTGATGTATTTCGCTCGGTTTTTTTAAACAAACTAACGTATTTAACAACCTTCACTCATTTATCTCTTACAACTACTGACTATTTTGAAAGTAGAGTAATTAAAAAGTCTCTCAAAATAATAAAAGTATTTACACACGTTAGTTAGTACACTGAGAATATTTTCAAAACGTCCAGCGTAATTTTGGCTAGGTTTAATCTAATAGTCTTGAGATACTGATTGAGAACAACACAGTCAAATTAATTCATGAACTTTTAGTGACCTACTTTTATCAAGAGAACGCGATTGGTTTAATGGAAACAATTATTATAATCAATTGTACCAGTGATTGTTCTACTGTACTTGTTGGTTTAACTGTAATAAAGACATTCATTATTCTTCCTCCCGTTGATTGTGACCTTGCACGAACTTACGTTTGCTCAGTAAATCTGCTTGTACTTCTTTGGCACGATCTCGGTATTCTTTCGATACCACGAGATCGCCAATAAATACATCTCGACTACAGCCATCAACTACCTTCTGATATTTGGCCTACGGGGGATCTTATTGGTTAACTGGCACGTAGTCTTCCTGTAGTGGTGATCATAGTCAACCGCGACTCGACGCCACACTACAAACTAATGAGATCTTTTTCTCCGATGATCACTGTCAAATCATGTATCCAAAAGTTATCTGCGCAAGTTTATAGAAAAACGGCGGTACTATAATGTGCGAACAAAATGATCAAATTTAAGATAGCTCCTCTTAAGCTTATGTACGATATTTACTTATTTTTATTGCTACTAGGGATCCTTTAATTATAGCTGGTGTCAGCTTGTAATTAGAACCCTAAACTCTAATTTACTATAATGTAGTTTGGTATGTAAGGGAGTATCAATCATATTAAAGTTAATTATACATTGTAATTTCACTGGTTATTATTGTTACCTGCTTAATAACCAAAGTTTTCTAATTGGCTTGTGAGCCACTCAAGGCTGTCATTACAGTTTAGTTTTACCTGGTCTTTTGATAATTAACTTCTGTTTACATCCGCTTTTTACCCATTTATCTATTTTAATTTAAATATATTTCCGATTATGAACTAACTAATCCTTGATGAAATGTAATTTGATGATTTTATTTGTGTCAAAATATAACAGCATTTCAATCTGGCTGGTTGCGGTAATCTCATGCGCGTTAACCAACAAGCAATGTTTCTGCGTAACTACTTATAATTATCAAAGTGGATTATAAGTGACTTATTCTTGGCAGTCAGAAATAGTTTCAAACATACACGACTTCAAGTTATTGTGTGAATATTTTGATCTGAATAAATCATAATGTATACTTGTAGCTACATATAAATGATAATACTTTACATCCATTATGAAGTATACAAACTAAAAGAAAATCTTTATGTATGAAAACCGGGATTAACAGGATGTAGAAAAAATGAGTTAATGAAACAAACATTGTAGGATAAATACATAAATTTAACTTGTCATAATTTAAGAAGCAACATCAAAAGGAGGAGTAAGGGTATTAAAATGAACGAGAATGGAGTAGGCAATAACATTGTATACAAAAAACAAAGAATGGATTCTCAATGATTATTGGACAGAGAATTCCACTGTTAACTTATACTTCTTTGTAATCGACAATAAACTAGATAAATATGAAATACTATTTCTGTCTAAACTGAATAGATCATACATTGATCCCATTTATACACCTATTACAAATGCAATAAATCCAATCAACTGTGAGTCAAATTAATAACGAGTAAAGATTGGTATATTGATTGGAAGCGTTAAAGAGAGTCACATTTAAGTGAGACTTGTCAAATGGATAGATTAATTTGATGCATATTCATTTCGACTCGTCCCACGATGACTTTGACTGATTAATATGCATTTGTGCTGAGCGGAAGATGCATAAAGAGAATTGAAACTGCAAGTTTTACACGTTAAAGTCGAACGTATATTAGAAACAGAGAGGCAACAAATATACAATACATAAACAAAAACAACCTCAACATTTACAATAATAAATGCAGAAGATAATGTTCAAGAGCAATTTTTGTGATGCATACATGAGTTATTGGTAAAATGATGTGATACATGTGTGTATTTGTTGAGTTTATAATTTATTAGTAAAAATAGACATTTCCAAATTGTGTTTGACATTTAATACAATATTGTCATTGAAAAATAGAACAATCATTGGTTGCAGAAGCAATCAAAATACAATGAAACATCACAGTTTTAAAAGTTATTTCTGTTCATAAATAAATAATATCACTATTGATTACCGACCAATACACGACTCATATTGAATGGCAAATCTCTACTACGCATACGTCTAGTTGCTTCAATTAAACTTATTTCTCTCCGATCCAATTCAACTTGACGTTGTACTTCTAGTGTTGCACCTAATGGTTTATTTATATATTTCGGTGCTGGAGTTTCTAACACTGGACCAATCACTTTTGAACCAAATTGAATAACTCGTTTAGGAAATAGTAGTCTTGATTGAACGTTTAAAAAATTTTTATAGTAGGTAAAACCAGTGATCTGTCATAATGGAAAAATTAAAGAACCAAACGAAAATATGTAACATTATCTAACAAAAACTATAAATTATATTAACATTTGTCTAAATATTAAGTATAACCTAAATTTTATTCTACTCCCAGGAAGCTGAAAAATAGTTACTGATTAGTATAGTTAAATATACTTCCTAATATATAGAATCGCCTAGTACTGCCGAGGGTGGGGAGAACCAGCTCTCTTTCTCGAAATGCTCTCACGGGTATACAGCCACTGCCAGAGAAGTCCTAATCACTGCCTTCTCGCACTAGGGGTGTTGTTTACGAAATTGAGAGGACGAAAAGCGAATGTCCGGCGCTTTAACCGGGTTGGTGGACATGGAGAGTCCACCTAGGGGAGTTAGAAAACCATGATCCCAAACCAACGTTAAACATGGGCTCCATGATACTGATGGAACAAATGGCGTATGAACCAATCGTTGGTCACCGGTTACCATGGGACTGCATCTCCTTACGATGCTCCATTGCCTTGTGGATCAGACCTTCAGGTCGAAGGCTCGGGGTGTGGCCCCCTAAGAAAACCACCTACTTCGGTTTGGGCACCCGGGCAGTATCACAGCTCACATACATATCAAATGCAAATTGTGTGGCGCATATGTATTTGGTGTCTCCTTGTACCAATATCTATGTGTTAAAATAAATAGTCTGAAGTAAAGCGAAAATCCCTATTTAGAAATTTATGGAAACAATGAGGTGAATTAATTCTTTTTTGTCGATTAGCTTTTCATCAAGCGTAATTTGTAGTAAGAATGTAGTGGCAGCAAAGTAATTTTACATTATAATACTACAATTCAGCAAGTGATTGTGAACATTTATTCTGTTTATCTAAACTTTTCTCACTTTTGTATCTATAGATAATTCTACCACGCTAAAATATCTCCCCAATCATACTATTAGATATTTCGTAATATATGTCAACCGCTGAACCACAAGTTTTCAATTTTTTACGAACAATTACCTTAATTATGTAGAACAGATGAACTGAGACTAGTAGTGGAATCCACGACGTGCACTTCGTCCTAATTTGAACGCGTTAGCTGGATATACCCACATCCCAGTGGTATTCACATTGGGATTCAAATTCAGTGTCCTTCGCTTTAAATGTTAACATGTATGCTGAACTACAAAGTTCAGATAGCCGCTAACGTGCTTCATTCAGTTGCGTCGTTAATCACTAAACATCATTTTCACTAGCGAAACAGAAATATTATATAGTAGTACTGTTTGATTGGTACTATGCTGTTATCGTAAATTATATTTATACTGGTGCTAAGTCACTATGAAATACTTACTGAAAAGAAATATCTCTGCACTCTATTATCGTTTTAATGAAAATAAATAGCATTTTCCAAAAAAACATATTTTTAAACACACATATCTATCTATACAGATTGACTTGATGAAACTAACTAACTGTAAGTAATAAAATAGAAGGAATGAAATAGATCGATCTGACTCTGATCTGCTAGGAATGAAGTTGAATTGAGATATACATAGGTTTCTATTTTTATTAGTATGTGAGTGGCCGAACTTATATCATGTAAATGATGATGCTTCAAAAGACATCTAGTTATAGTTTGTACTTATCACAGATTAACCTCAATCGGGGTACAGTTTAGAACCATAGAACACTGAACAGCTGTTTCATGCTAGCATGCGACTCTTCAACAAACTAGAACTAATCTCTACAAAACTCCTTTAAACAAACAGCTAATAAACTTTCTTTGGTATTTTATGTGTTACAAACATGCATATTATTTTACTGGAAGAAAAACTTACTATGCTAGCAAGCAAGTTATTATTTTTAGATAATAGTCCATTTGAGGACCCATGTCACTAATTCAAGATTTCGAGCAATTATAAATGGCTCTTATTATGTGACTGTACATCGTCTACCGACCACAGCTCCAATCATTATTTAAATAAGCCCAAACATTCGTCGTTATCAAAACTCTTCTATGACTAAGAAAATTGCGTGCAATGATAAAAAAGGGACCAGTGGAGATGGTAAAGAATATATTCAGTCCAATTTCTAGGTTGACGCATAAAATATTACACACAACTTACCAAACCGCATATACAAACAAATAAAGATTCCGGAGATGTCATAGCAATCTAGAAACGTAATAAGTAGGTAAATCTGGATACTTACTTCAAATCCAAATATGTATGGAAATGATTTTCCAGTTATTGGGATCCTCATCACATGTGCAACGGGGACCCATGGAATGTCCAGAAAATAGGGCACAAAAAGTGGGAAGATCAAATTAAATCTAATAACGTAATATTAAAACGCCTATGCACAGTAACTTACGGTCCAGAAGGAAGTGTATGAAGTGAAAAGTTTAATTTCCTCAAAATAAAAGCCATCAACAGTTCGACGAATGTTGTGGTTGCAGCACAATAAAATAGGAATGACTAAATATGCATTAAGAATAATAAAACATAATATAAACCAAGGGAAGCTTGCCAGAAATTTTCTTGATCCATAGCGTCGTTCAAATATTCGAAAATAGTACAACAGTAATCCACCGCATACCAGATCTTTTGTACTAAGAAAAGGTAGTTGGCAAAGTGCTAATCTCCATATCTAATGTGCAAGATTATTTTGTAAGGAAAAAAATTCTCAAGATAGTTTTATTTTATACTAACCGATCCATTTTCGAAAATATCATCTAAATTATAGGTAAATATATCTTTCCGTTTTGAAAATGGCATTAATAAGATGAAGGAAAATATAACACTGAATGCCAGAAAACATTTGGTTACCGTAGTTTTATCTGGAATAAACATGTTAAAGTAAGAAATAAATTGGCATTAAAATAATTCGTAAATGCATGATAGAACTTTCAAGTAACTTAACATATGACATTGTCTAGAATACCATGAAGTTATCATCTGTTTCGTAGGTCTGTAGTCTATCGTTTTACACAGGTAACTCATGTGATCCCAGTCCTGTTTAATAAGGTCCAGGAAAGCGTGTGTTTGATTTGCAAACTTTACGAGCTATGACCAAAACTCATCAGAGTAATAAAGAATGATTATTATTTAGCTTCCGCTAAAACCTCAACATGAACAATCCCGTGCTTTTTGTCTCCCGATTTTATTTAGTTACTTTTCTAAGTTTTGCTAGTTCGTGCTATGGTTGGTACCACTGACCTCTGTCTATGGTGTAAATTATAGAAAGTTTAACTGATACACAAGAGTCTCAAGGAATGTATTGATGGACTACTGTCAAGCTTCTGAGTGTTGTCTTTCATCCTTTAAATGACCTTACAAAAATAAAAAGCCCTAAAGAGACTCGGAACTGGAGAAGATATTGTCATAGTTCCAGAGGGCAAAGAACGAACTACAGTATTCATTATTGCTCCTTACGAGCCAATCTTTCTCGAGTTTTGAGCAATCTACGAAGTATGACAGAAGCCGATAGTTTGGACGCAATGGGAATTAGACTTATCCCCTGATAGTTGGTACAGAAACGATGTGAACGATTACCGACTCATTCCATGATGCTGGAACACTCTCTAATTGCCAGGCCTTTGTGAACAACTCAGTCAGTTTCTTAACCAGAAAGTTGCCACCATCTTTAAAAGGGCTGGAAGTAAGTCATCTGGGCCTGGTGATTTGTAGCGTTTCAAGAGTCGGAGTTCCTTGTGGACTTCCGCATCGTTAGGTGGATAAGTTGCCAACGGCCATGGAGGGCAGGACAGCCTGACCTATGTTGCCGGAGCAGCAGGCCAGTGGAACTGCCCTCCGAAGGATTCTGTCCATCGTCCAAGACGTCAGTGGATGTTAGTGATTGGCATCCCGTCATCTTCACAGATTGTTTCGCTTACAACAGACTTGCTGCTAGTGGCTCGGATGAGTTGGAAGAGCTTCCAACAGTTACCAGATGCAGCTGCTGCTCCCAGCTAATTAGAACGCTCCGATCACCAGGCTTCTGGGTCCTTACGCAAGTTTTGCCCGATTTCATTACGTAACATCCTTCGATTGTGGTCAAACTCACGGTCACCCGGAATAGACTGACGGGCTTCGATGAGTTGTAAGAAGCCTGAAGAAACCCAGTGCTTATAAGCGGGACGTTTCGCGAGGCCACAAATGGCTTTAATCGTCATTTTCATGGCGCCATGCAGTTGCAACCCATGCTCATCTAAGGCAAACAAGGGCATGATCAGAGTCCAAATAAGCACTCCAAAAGGAGTAGAAGTCTTGTACGCAACCACGCCAGTGGTAGCTGATCACGATGTGATCAATCTGAGTCCTGGCTTCAGATGCAGAAGGAGGGCGCCAGGTAGCACATCGGTGACGAACTTTAGTAATAATGGACAAGAAAGAATATATCAGGAAAGCCGAGGAACTGCTTGAGCATGAAGGCGTATATAAACCAATAGATATAAATCCAATCAAAGGTTAGACAACCAAATCTCAAGGACTTTAAACAAGCTCGTCAATGCAGGACAAATGCCAAAGCAAGATCTATGGAGAATGAAATCCAATGGACCAGTAATCCCTCGATATAAAAGACATATGAATTACGAGATTATTGAAACCGTTTGGAATAGGTGTAGCACACAAACCAGCAAAGTCACTCCAATCGATCCTATGCAAACCAGAGGACGAAATGACAAAAGAAGCAAGCCGAATATCATCTACAAAATAAGTTGTTTCAACTGCGAAAAACGCTACATCGAACAGGGTGGGCGCCCCCTTCCTCCTCGCCTGCACGAACATAAACTGGCAGTCAATCGTCATGACATTCTCGCCTATATCAATGCATTTGAACAACTATGGACACATTCGACTGGAAAAATGTCGAGATCCTGGATAGAGGGAGTACTAAAAGCACCAGAGAATTTTTAGAAGCTTGGTGCTCAGGTCAATCAGCAATCAACTAACGCATTGAAATCGGTCCAATCTATCAACCAATCGGAAGAAAACATAGATAAATATAGAAACAAGAATCAAACCAATCGCAGCTACAGTCAAAATAAAAAAGTGGATAGTGACGGGCTAAAGGTCAACAATAACCGACCGAGACCGATGTCGACAGGACAAGCTGTGAGTCATATGTGGAGAAATTCGAGCACTTCACTTCTACCTGGAGTTTGTGCTGATAATGTTGTTCAAAAGAAAAATGAGAGTTCCAAGACCAAACCATTCAGCTCGCAGAACAAAACTCCACCTAAATAGTTGGTCATTCCCACTATCATAGATATTATTATTTGTTCATTTGCCATTCAGCTTGATTTGTTAGCTGTACCAATTTAGTTATTATTTGAACATATAAATATTAGTACAAGGGGGTACCAAATACATTGCACGACACAATAACAATGAGGCCAGTAGTAATTATCACGGATTTGTGTGAGGGCTTTGGTACTGCCTGGGTTCCCAGACCGAAGCAGGTGGTTTTCTCAGGGGGTCACACCCGGAGCCTTCGACCTAAAGGTCCGACCCACAAGGCAATGGAGCAACGTCAGGAGATGCAGTCCCATGGTAACCGGTGACCAACGATTGGTTCATACGCCATTTGTTCCATCAGTATCATGGAGCCCATGTTTAACGTTGGTTTGGGATCATGGTTTTCTAACTCCCCTAGGTGGACTCTCGGTGCCCACCAGCCTGGTTAAAGAGCCGGACATTCGCAGTAACTTGGGCTGATGCACACTCGTTCAAGATTCTCTTTTCACCGTAAGGTGAAAATGAATATCAAGAGGTCATCATTAGGGTGAGTGCAAACTGGAGAGTCTGTTAAATTTGCGGAATTTGAACTTCTGTGGTGTAAAGCACTTGTTTACACTATGGATGATCAATGTTGTCCAAATGGATTTTATTTTCTCAATAGATTGAGACAATATTACTCATATGTTATATATTAAGGTATATAAGAAATTTTCTAACTTTATTAGTCACCTGTACAATATTCACTCACAGTAACATTTAAGAATGGATGTCCAGAATCTACCTGACTTCAATAACTGCTTAGAACAGACACCAGGTTCTTAGCTGCCACTGAAATGGATTCTTTCGTACAAAATTTCACTATGTTAATGAATCTATAAGGATTAGTTCACATCATAAATCCTGTAAAGTCACTCGAGTGATTTTAAACTCGAATTTCAACGTGTGAGAATATATATATATATATATATATATATATATATATATATGGCCATGTATACACCTAAACGTGGAGAACGATACAATGTGAGGGTGATAGCTCAGAACTTCAAAATGACCTGAAGAAATTATCTGAATGGTCTGAAACCTGGCAGTTGCCGATAAATACTTCCGAGTGTGTTGTGATGCATATCGGTCATCAAGGTACAGATACATACACGATGAATAACACTGAGCTACCTGTCGTCCAGACATATAATGACTTAGGAGTCATCGTTAGCCAAGACTTAAAGACTACTGCACACTACCGTGCAATAGTGTGCTACGTCCTAAACTTGAGTACTGTATACAAGCGGCCAGCCCCTGCTTAAAAGACAATGAGCTTCTGGAAAAGGTTCAGAGAACGGCAACTAAGCTGATTCCCGGAATAGCGAAGCTTCCGTATGAAGCTCGACTGGCCAAGCTGGACCTTTTCCCGTTGTCATATCACAGAACTAGAGGCGACTTGATTACAGCTTTCAAATTGCCTAGTGCCAAATTTGCACCTGATACGCCCTCATTTTTCTTGTCTTCCAAAAAAAAGAATTTACGAGGACACTCCAAAAAAGTCCACAAGCCAAGAACAAATTACTTGTCAGTTGACTATCGACTTTCCCATCGAATCATCAACGAGTGCAACTCGTTACCTCAACACGTGGTTAAGGCTCCATCCGTCGATTCTTTCAAAAGAAAGTTGGATCAACTGAGATACCACCATTGCCAGGACTAACACACGCCATCAGGCCTCCTGTCCTTCCCAAACTGAAACTGAAACTTGTGCCCGAAGCTGGTATATGTGTCGAATTATGAGATAACGATCAAAATTAATATAACGCTTTAAAACATTAGAGACTGACAGTGTTGGTAAGAGTGTGATTCAACCGAATAACTTACAAAAGCCAGAATGACTTTGGGGAGCCAGCATAGTAGCAACACTTGTAAATTTGCCGCAACCAAATCCAATATCTAATATTTTTGACGGATGACCTTGTCTTCAGTTTTCGGTTATTAGGATAGTAAGTTGATAGACTTGTGCTAATCCTTAGAGTTTGCTTTCTGGTGAGGCTCCAGTATCTTTTTGAAAGTGCTCACTGACTAGGCTGATACCGCATGTTCGAGTAGGGCGTTCCAGTCGTTGACCAGTCGATAAGAAAAACGGAACCTCACTTTGAGTCTATCAGATCGCCATCTTGTTATGGCTTCGAAGATTATTAGTGCCTAATGGGACAAAAAGATAGGACATACTAACACCCAAGTCGTAATTAAAGATACGAAATGCCCTATAGGTCACCTCGACTTCTACAAGATGATAAGGGGAAAGGTTCGAACATTTTAAGCGCTCATCATAAAAGAGTTTGGAAAGACTTTTGGCTAATTTTTTTCCTGCACACTCAACATGCTTAAGTGAGTTAGTGTCCTAAATAAGACATGTGCCGACTGCTTGAACACAGTACTCTAGATGTGGTCTGACGTAGGTGGAATAGAAAATTCGAAACATCTGGTTAAAGGATTTGAATGCTTGGCAAAGTCTGTGCAAATGATTATGGTCCGTGACCCTTAACAATAAATTTCCTCCCAAACTATCACTATTTTTCGGAAACGGAGTGATTTACGTTTCGTTTAAAGTGGTCACATCCAGTCTAATGCTGTCCGTGTTTAAAGCTAGCTCTGACTGAATGATGAGCAAGTCTCACTCATTCTTATCTCAACGCCATTTAGGTGCTTGAGTATTGGGTCTAGAGCACCTGAAACATAACCTGCTCCACAACACCGCTACCCTAAAACTATCTGGTGACCCACTGATGCGACCAAACATCTTGGATGTTTGTTTACATTTGGTGTCGCAACTCCAGAAGTCAGTGCTTTTTGCAGAAAGGCCATAGAACTGGAAAAATTAATCTGGATTATTGCTCAATGTGGAGAGAAAATATCAGAAGTGATTCTAATTTCCCATAGAAGACTGTTTTCTAAAGACCAATTAATTTTCGGTAACAATTACAACTTTAGTGAGTGTTTACCGAGACCACTTATGTCTTACTTATTTACATTCGCTTGTTACTACCATTGTAGCATAGGCCGCCGACCAGCATTCTCCAACACACACTGTTCTGGGTTTTTCTTTCCAGTTCTATCCAAGTTTTGTTCATTTTTCTCATGTCCATCTCCATTTATCGGAGTAATTTTTTCTTTGGTCTTTATCTTTTCCTTTGGCCTTCAGCATTCCATGTGAAGGCTTGTCTTGTGACTCAGTTGGGTGCTTTCCTCAATGTGTGTCCTATCCACTTCCAGCGCTTCTTCCTGATTACTCCCTCCGCTGAGATCTGGTTTGTTCTCTCCCAAAATAGATTGTTGCTGATAGTGTCTGGCCAATGGGTCCGAAGTATTTGCGTAGACAACTGTTAATAAACACTTGTATCTTCTGGATGATGGCTATCGTAGTTCTCCAGGCTTCCGCCACATACAGTACAACTGTCTTGACATTTGTATTGAAAATTCTTACATTGGTGTTGGTTGACAGAGAGTTGTTTCGAGTTCCAGATGTTCTTCAGTTGTATATATGCTGCTCTTGCTTTGCCGATCCGCGCCTTCATATCTTCATCAGATCCACTGTGGTGCTGCCCAAATATGTAAAGGTATTTACATCTTCCAAATCTTCTCCGTCAAGCGTGATTCGATTGTTGCATGCTGTGTTGAGTCGGAGAATCTTGCTTTTCCCATTTGTGTATATTGAGACCTACTGATGCTGAGGCTGCTGCTACATTGGTTGTCTTCTCCTGCATTTGATGTTGCGTTTGGGATAGAAGGGCCAGATCATCTGCAAAGTCTGTTTCATCCAACTGCATTATGTCTGTCCACTGTATCTGATGCTTCCTCCACCCAGATGCTGACGCCTTCATAATCCAGTCGATCACCAGAAGAAAGAGAAAGGGTGTGAGTAAGCAACCTTGCCTGACAACGGTCTTTACTTCGAACGAATTTGTCAACTGTCATCCATGCACGAGTTTGCAGTTTAATTCATCATAGGGATTCCGTATGATATTGACTATCTACTCAGGTACGCCGTAGTGTCGAATAAGCCTCCATAGTGCTGCCCTGTCCACGCTATCACATGCTTTTTCGTAGTCAATGAAGTTGATGTAGAGTTATGAATTCCATTCAATTGATTGTTCCACAATGGTCCGTAGTGTTGCGATTTGGTCTGTACACGATCTATCCTTACGCAATGCAGCCTGTTGGTCACGAAGTTGGGCGTCTACAGAGTCCTTCATTCTGTCTAGCAATACCCTGTTGAAGACTTTTCCTGGTATTGAAAGAGGAGTGTTGCCCCTGTAGTTATCACAGTTGCTGAGACCGTCTTTCTTTGATATTTTGATCAGAAGTCCTTCCTTCCAGTCTGTTAGTACTTGTTCCTCATCCCAAATCTTATTGAAGAGAATGTGGAGTATCCTTGCAGTTACCGCTACGTCTGCTTTCAGTGCCTCTGCTGGAATGTTGTCCGGTCCTACTGCTTTGCCACTCTTGATTTGTCTGATGGCCATGCTGATCTCTTCAATTGTTGGTGGGCCGACATCGACTGGGAGGTCCGTGGGTGCTTCTTCGATGTTGGGTGGGTTCAGTGGGGCTGGTCGATTCAAGAGTTCTTTGAAGTGACCTACCCACCAGTTTCGTTGTTCTTTTCACTGGTCGTTCTAGTTTACGATAATTTCCAGAGAGTTTCTTTTTCTTATATCATACAGCTCTTTCATGTTCCCTTCTCTTTACTTCTGTGTATTCAGCTTGTGCCTTGGCTTTCTCTGCTCTTGTTCGGCTGGTGTTGATTGATGCCTTCTTGTTCTTCCTTTGTTGAATCTTGTCCAGTGTATCGACAGTGATCCATTCCTTGTGGTGGTGCTTCTTGTGGACCAGAACCTCATGACATATTGAAGTGATTGTCTCATTTATCCTTTTCCGATTTCTCTACATAGTAGTTCCTTGTCCATTGAGTAGATCATGAAATGTCTCGAACCTATTGCTGACAACAATTTTTGATTTGTTGAGTTTTTCAGTATTCCGAAGAAAAGGCGTATTAAACATTTGTGATGTTGTCCGCGTCGTTGTCCAATGCTTCTTGAGTTTCGATTTCATCTTGGCGACTAGCAAGTGATGATCTGATGCTATATCAGCTCCGCTCTTGGTTCTCACATCCTCCATCGTCCTCCTGAACTCTTCTTGATTCAAATATGGTTGATTTAGTTTCACGTAGTGTGATTCGGTGAAGTCCATGTGGTTTTGTGTATGCGTTTATGTGGGAATATAGTTCCGTCTATGACGAGTTTATTGAAAGCACATAGGTTTGCAAATCTCTCACCATTCCCGTTCCTTTCTCCCATTCCATGTCATCCCATGATGTCTTCATATCCAGTGTTGTCCGTTCCAACCTTGGCATTGAAATCTCCCATCGGAATGGTCAGGTCCTTTGTTGGGCACTTCTCGATGATTGACTGCAGCCTATTGTAGAATTGATCCTTAGCGTCTTCATTGTAGTCGTTGGTAGGCGCATAGCATTGGATGATGTTCATTGAAATGCCCTCTTGCTTTGTTTTGAAGGAGGCTTTGATGATCCTTGGTCCATGAGATTCCCATCCTATAATTGCTTTTTGTGCTTGTTTGGACAGCATCAATGCAACTCCCTGTGGATGTGGGGAATTTTCTTCATCATGGCCGGAGTATAACAGGAGCTCTCATGAAGCTAGTCGTTGTTGTCCAACTTTCGTCCAATGTGTTTCACTGACCCCAAGTACCTCTAGGTTGTATCTTCTCATTTCTGCAGCAATCTGGAAGGCTCTTCCGGTGTCCCACATTGTAGGAGTATTCCATGTACCTAAATAAATGGTTTCTCTGGTTGTCAGAAGGAGCATCAACCTCGTGACTTCCGAAGGAACTCGGCTTTCATCACGAGGCGTCATAGTTCTTCTAAATGAAGACCTTCTGACTCCCAGGACAGATTTTAAATGGTTTGAATAATATTTTCAGGTTGGCGTTTTTCAGCGAGTTAGTTGTCTACGGTATGGGCCTGAGACTGGCAGTAGCCTCGGAGGGGCTCCGGGAGGAGTCGGTCACTTGTGTCATTCGGAAATCTATATTTCAGTGTTCGTTGTAACCCATTCTAACCATGTCCCGTTTAGCTTGAGCAAGTAACTAGTGTTAATAATCTATCGTTTGTCGCCGATCGACGTCAGGATTTTTCATCTGTCACCTAGGATTTTGAGCTATCGCCCTTGTTCCACACGATTTTTCTAAAAATATCTGACTAGTTCCGATTATCACATTTTGGCTTTTCCAAGTATATTTTAGAAAACTTTCCTTCTCTCGATTAAATTTGGCATCCTTGTCTCCCTTGATTTTTTCACTTGGTTCTCCCTGATTTTTGCTTCTATCAAAAGTAATGTGAAGTTTTGCGAGACTGTGTAGAACTACTATATTGTGATGCTTAGAAGCTTATTTTCTTGTTTGTCAGCCTTATCTCTGAAAGTAGACCTGGCTATCCAATTGAGTTCACCCTAAGTGCCTCTAATAGGATGAAGAACAAGAAATACAGGTGTATGGCTTGCGGTCTTTGAGTCCCGTTTTGACTGGATCGGTTTGATTGCTGCAATCGACCACCAGACAGCTTCCTTCAAATTTGTTGTCAAAGGAACTGAGTCATTAGCCATTAACCTTGTTCGATCATGCTAATATTTCATTTTTGGCCCCAGCATCTCTACATTGTTGCTCTGCTCTCAGTTAGTAATGTGTTTGGAATTTACAGCTTTTGGTTGAAGCTCAGTGTCGGCAAGAATATCTAATGAAAGTATGCATGATGTATATTTTTCTTATCATTATTATCAAGACAGTTATAATTGACATTATTCCTGCACCAGTGAATTAACTTACTGAAAATTTTGA